CATTGAAAGTATACCCTTCGAGTTTTTGTTTTTTATTAATATACGTTTTTTATGCATTAACCTACTATATATAGGAACTAGGGTGTGGGTGTAGGTGTCAGTTGAAGAGACATACATCCACATCCAGGCGGACACCTGCATCCACACCCACAACCTTATTTCTCCAATATTTTTCTTTCCATGGGATGAGGTGATGCTGAAGATTTTTCGTTCCATCCTGTCCTATGGGACCAATCGGATTGTCCAATTCCACGCGGAGCCTTGTTGTGTATTGTTGACGAATATAGAAAGATGACAATGAAAGTGACATTTCATTTGATACAATAGATACTAAGTTTACTTGATCAACAACGCAGAAAAGTGAAAGAGCAATTTTGCATAATAATTACTTATATCGATTAAAACGTGAAAACCAGAGCAGTTCGTTCATATATGTTTCTATATTTCAATCATGCTCTCATGTTATTACTTTCAATAATGATGCAATTTTAAAATGCAATGGATGTTAGTCTTGTCTTTCTCTGACATCCACATCCACAAGATCAAGATTTGAATTCGTATTGAAGTGTTATGAAATATTTCTTATACATATAGATGTTTTAAAAAATGCTAAAGATAATACTAAAAAAAGCAATTTTCTTTTTCATTCTTAACATAATAATGGTATGAACAAGGGAGAGCAAACTGATATCTTGATTTCTGTGACTTCAAATGATTTCCCTGGTTTCTATCGATTTCTATCACTGGAAATTAGTTTTCACCTGTTCATCGCGAATCAATAGGGATCACCGGAGATGCTTAGAAACGAAGAAAAATCACGAGGAATTATTAGAAGTCAAGAACAATCACTCAGAACATTGACAATTATTGAAAATCATGAAAAACATTAGAAATCAATAGGAATCACAGTTTTACTTTAATTTTATTACTGGAGATTTTCTATGATTTAGAGTAATTTCCATTAATTTCTCATGAACTCTGATGGTTTCTAATAATTTTTTTAATCACTTCCAGTCATTATTCGTATCTTTAACGCATTAGCGTGATTTCTGGTGATTTCACGTCGGTAAAGTTAGCACCATATTCGACATTTTCTATCCGGATTCGCTATCTTACCTGAGTTGAGTCTCATATCCATGAGTTAGACGCAGAATTTTACGCTGAATCGAATGGTGCCACTTTCAAGGGGGGTCATCGGGCAACAAACTCCACTTACCCCCCCAAATACTGGTTTTTCGACCCATTCTGACCAGTAATCCCTGTCCGGATTCGCTATCTTACCTGAGTTATGTCTCATATCTATGAGTTAGATGCAGAATTTTACGCTGAATCGAACGGTACCACTTTCAAGGCGGGTCATCGGGCAAAAAACCCCACTTACCCCCCAAATACTGGTTTTTCGACCCATTCTGCCCAGTAATCCCCGTCCGGATTCGCTATCTTACCTGAGTTATGTCTCATATCCATGAGTTAGATGCAGAATTTTACGCGCAATCGAATGATGCCACTTTCAAGGGGGGTCATCGGGCAAAAAACCC